TTTTATAAATAAACAAAAGAGTATAGTTAAATTTGCTAAACAATAAGTTCCTTTAAGTAAAAGCTTTATGTATCGTGGATTATTGACAAGATGAAGAGATTAATGAATATATTATTAATAAAGTAAAAAATATGATTATTAAAATGGCGAGGAGCATTAGAAATTTTGTATGATCATTGAAAATCTTTAAGATTAAAAAAATTATAAGATAATTATAAAACCAATAATACTTTGGGGATCTAAGTGTTAGATATATATATATATATATATATATATATATATATATATATATAATTACCAAAATGAAAATATTGAGATAGATATGTATAGTTACTATAAAAAATATATAAAAAAAAATACTTTTATTTATGAACAACTAGGTATCGATTCTATACTAAATAAGATAAGAGAAAATCGTTTAAAATGATATGGGCATGTACTGAGAATACATCTGGATATGATAGTAAAAAAAAATATAAAATAATTAATATTAATAATACAAGGTGGAGGAAAATATAAAAAGATAATACTATAAGTTATAAATAAATATTTCAGTATTATAAACTTAATTAAATATATGACTTTTTTACGTATCTCGGCAAAAGATCCAAATAGCTAACATTAGGAACTTTTGATTTTGTTATTGTATAATTTTATTAATTTTTACTAAATCAATTCAAACTTTCATAAAATAACTATAACTTGATTCTAAGATGATTAATATATTTTTTTATTTTATGATAATTAATTATCAAAATTAAAAAAAATTTAAATATATTATCTATCAAAGTGTAGCTTAATTAAATTTCGAGTGTAAATTAGTCGATTTCATCTAAACCTACTAAAATTTACATCAAACTACTTGATTTTAATTCTAATATGTTTAATATTATTTTTATAAATTATATGATAATTAATAATAAAAAATTAAAGATTTTTCAAATATGTTATCTGATCGAATATAATTTAATTAAATGTTAAGTATAACTTAGTTAACTTATATTAAATCAATCCAATTTTTCATAAAATATTAAAACATGATTTTAAGATGATTAATAATTTTTTTTATTTTAAATAATTTTATAATAATTAATTATCAGTATTTAAGATTTTTTGAATTGATACTATAATCAAGTGTAATTTATTTAATTTTGAGTATAATTTTATCAACTCCACTTAACCAATTCAAAATTTTATAACATCACTAAGACATGATTATAGCATGATTAATACTTTTTTATTTTTAAAATTTTATCATAATTAATTTTATCAAAATTATTTTTTAGTAATATTTATGAACAAGTGATTTAAATAAAAGTTTAAGATCATTTTCATCCAAATGAAAAAAAAGGATGTCTTCAAGGTAAAAATAACTATGTGAGATGCTTGTATATATTGGGATATCTTCGAGAAAATAATAATAATAATAATAATAATAACAACAACAACAACAACTCATCCAAATTTAACTCCTAAGTATTAAGGAGATAATGGGGAAGCATGTTTCAAGTAAATTTCAATACAATTCATGCGAATTTAATATAAAATCACATTTCCTTTTAATAACCAAAACATATGATAGAGGAAGAACAAATTCATCGCGACAAAGAGGAAGACAAAAAATAATAAATAGGAATTAGGCAACAAATTTTGTCTTTTACTGAAATTAGCTATGGATAATGATGATTAGCAATGATTATATAAAACTTATTAGATGAATACTAACGAGAGTGATGCATGTGAATGATCCAAACATGTCAAGGGATATACATGTTATAATAGTAGCATCAAATATGTTGTTTCAAAGTTCTGAGTAGTTGATATCTCATCGTAGGAGACTCTCTCTCTCTCTCTCTCTCTCTCTCTACTAACTAA